TGTTAGTAACATATAAAACATATATAGTGTAGGGGTGTTAGACAGTCATATACAATATATATGTACTGTAGGAGTGTGTTTAACAGTCACATACCAAACATGTATTGTAGGGGTGAGCTAGATAGTTACATACAAAACATATATACAGTAGGGGTGAGTTAGACAGTAACATACAGAAGATATGTACCATATGGGTGTGTTTAACAGTCACATACAAAACATATGCACTGTAGGGGTAGGTTTAACAGTCACATACAAAAACATGCACAGTAGGAGTGTGTTAGACAGTCACATACAAAGTGTATGTACTGTAGGGGTGTGTTAGTCACATACAGAACATATCTGTTGTAGGGGTGTGTTAGACAGTGACATACAAAACAGGTACTGTAGGGGTGTGTTAGTCACATACAGAACATATCTGCTGTAGGGGTGTGTTAGATAGTCACATACAAAACATAGGTAATATAGAGGTGTTAGACTTGTCACATTCAAAACTTATGTACTGTAGGGGTGTGTTAGTCACATAAGAACGTATGTGCTGTTAGGGTGTGTTAGACAGTCACATACAAAACATAAATACTGTAGGGGTGAGTTAGACAGTCACATACAAAACATAGGTAATGTAGGGGTGTTAGACAGTCACATACAAAACATAGGTAATGTAGGGATGTGTTAGACAGTCACATACAAAACATAGGTAATGTAGGGGTGTGTTAGACAGTCACATACAAAACATAGGTAATGTAGGGGTGTTAGACAGTCACATACAAAACATAGGTAATGTAGGGATGTGTTAGACAGTCACATACAAAACATAGGTAATGTAGGGGTGTTAGACAGTCACATACAAAACATAGGTAATGTAGGTGTGTTAGACAGTCACATACAAAACATAGGTAATGTAGGGGTGTGTTAGACAGTCACATTCAAAACATAGGTAATGTAGGGGTGTTAGACAGTCACATACAAAACATAGGTAATGTAGGGGTGTGTTAGACAGTCACATACAAAACAAAGGTAATGTAGGGGTGTGTTAGACAGTCACATACAAAACAAAGGTAATGTAGGGGTGTGTTAGACAGTCACATACAAAACATAGGTAATGTAGGGGTGTTACACAGTCACATACAAAACATAGGTAATGTAGGGGTGTTAGACAGTCACATACAAAACATAGGTAATGTAGGGGTGTGTTAGACAGTCACATACAAAACATAGATACTGTAGGGGTGAGTTAGACAGTCACATACAAAACATAGATACTGTAGGGGTGAGTTAGACAGTCACATACAAAACATAGGTAATGTAGGGGTGTGTTAGACAGTCACATACAAAACATAGGTAATGTAGGGGTGTGTTAGACAGTCACATCTGGTAGTCTTAGTTTCAGCTTCATAGCAAACGGGTCGCTCCATCTTTGCTCCGCTCCTGTGCCAGCGAAAAACACCCAGAATGTTTATCACAGTCCCTTGTGGAAAGATTGACAGACTGCTGTCTCAGCATATCTAGCATACACTCGCATTAACGCATATGGTAGCCATCCGAAGTGCTAACACAAACAGTCCAACATTAGAAATGTAGTTCATCATTGATGATAGCAGAACTTGTCGCCAACAGATCAGCAGTTGCCCGGGCGATCAATTTTAATACGGGTCCCGCCAACATTGCACGACCGGCATCGCGCCAGTTTCTGAATCTACAATTCACACCACGTTGGTCACAGTCGAAAAAACATTCCAAATGCAATCCGCAGCTCACAGGGTCACGCCATGCATTCAACCCAGAAGCTGGGCAAAGAAACTATATCCAGTCTACAAATGGAGCAAAAATACTTCGGCCACCGTCCGGCAGAAGCAAAAAATGTGCCTCCGCTCCGAACAGTGCCGCTGTCTAGCGTCCATTTTAACCGGACAGTCACATACAAAACATAGGTAATGTAGGGGTGAGTTAGACAGTCACATACAAAACATATGTACTGTAGGGGTGTGTTAGACATTCACATGCAAAACATGTTTGTAGGGGTGTGTTAGATGGTTACACACAAAACATATGATTTAGGTATTAGACAGACACAAAAGATGTGTACTGTAGATATTGATCAAACACAAAGCATACACACTTTATGTTGGAAGAAACAGACATAGACAGAATATAGCTACTGTTAAGTGGGTGTGTTGGGTGGTCAGACACAATACAAATGTACTGTAGGGATGAGTTAGACAATCATAGACATAATAAAGCTTCTGTTATATGGGTGTTTTTTGTTGGGTAAACACAATACAAATGTACTGTAGTGATGAGTTAGACAATCATAGACATAATAAAGGTTCTGTTATATTTGTGTGTTTGGTGGTCAAGAACACAATATATGTACTGTAGATCAGAGTTAGACTGTCATAGACATAATACAGGAATTGCTGTAGAAATATCATAGAAGCCATACACAGAAGACAGTGACTATCATAAGCGTGCATTGAACAGTCACGTTCGGAACCCTTCTATATAGAACATTCTATACATCTCTTGACTCACTGAAACTATCTGAATTCTGTTTGTCTACACATTGTCGAATAGTTAAACCGACTACATCTAGGAAACCCCAGCACTTAAAGTAGCAAGAGTTACAAGTGAAAAAGAACGATGCAGCTTGGAGTGATCGGGGCATCTGGTCGAGACACAACAGTCAGGGAAAAGGTAAGAGGATCATATTCTAAGTACTACTGATACCACTGGAAGTAGAACTCTATGCTGGCTGCTGAAGATGGAGTTGGAGCGTTTAGGGGAGTGTTCTGAGTTATGTGATGTCAGTTTCACTCATCAACTAAACGTTTACAAGTAATATTGAAGCACAATTTTTAAAAAAAAAACATAATTAGTTGACATTTTTTATTATAATTGTTACACATCTTGGACAAGTAATATACTTGGACGTTTAAAAATACACTATATATTTCATGCTCATGGATAATCTTATTAGATGAACTAATTATGGAATGTTATGATCTGAACGCGCGACAGATGTTTTGACCACTTCGCCACGGAAACCCCATTGAAAGGGTTGAATAAGACACAGGAGACGAAAGAAGTGCAGTTGAATGTCAGTAGTGCTAACTAGCAACCTTCAAAACTTATTTTATTACCTCTTGCGACACGCTAATGGAGTCATCATTATTTGCCTCATGACACTTTAGCGGTAAAATACAAGGCATTGGCATATGGTGAGTTTTCGCTAATTTACAATCATCAATCAGTTTTTATCAAGACAACGGTTTTAAGGCCTACCCTTTGTCTGAATAAGATGCAATGGAGAGACAAATAGTTGGATTAACTGCAGTAATCACTTGCAACAGTTAATTAACAAGAGGGAGGCTCGTTTGTATATTGGGCTTGTCTAAAATCCCACGTCAGTAGGTAACTGCAGAGAGTAGGCAATCATCCCAGTTTCGGGTTAAAGTGCTTGATCACTAGAGGTAAACGAAAGTGATATGGTAAACGTTTTGCACCAGGCGACTAAAAGGTTTAACTGTCTCGTTGGCTCCGTTCAGTCATATTGCATGGGTCGCCTTCTTGCTCGGTACTCCCATGTTTTCATCATTACTCACAAGCTCCTGTGAATGCAGTGGTCCTGCGTTCAAACACCAACAGACCCCGGATGTTTTCGGCGCAACCAGTAGAGTGAGAAGCCGCTGGCCGAACGGTTAAGAGCGCCAGGCTATCATGGAGGGAGACCCAGCTTTGAATTCTCGGTATGGCTGGGGCATTTTTATTTCTTTGTCGGCTGGGGGGTGGGGGGGGGGGGGGGGGGGGGGTGGGGGGGGTGGAGAGAGAATGAAGTCCTAACTTACACAGATCGTGGTGGCAGCACTAGCGATGCGAGTTCTAAATCCTCGGTTTCAAAACCACCCCCTGCCTCAAAAGTGGTAAATAGAGGCAGTAATAGGGTAAGGGTCTAGGGTCGACTAAGTTTTGTAAAAACCGTTAAGAGGTAATCTTCCGAGTTTTCTGGAATTACCTGGTAAAGAAATATGACATTGAAGGGAACAGGTCCCCACACCTAACATCATCATCATAATGATTATCGTCAAGTGCTTTGCTGACTGCCTGTCCACAACCTGCGGTAATTAACAGCGTGTATCAGTTCGTATGATGACACCCCTCCCTACAGTGACCACAAATTATGATGATCTTTACGACATATGTAATGAGTTACAGAAGACACCTTGCATGTTGTACCTAAAATGTGTGAATGTCTTACAGACTTTAACGTCTTCTAAACAAGTACGTTGTGATTTGTAACGTATATCTCTGTCCCCTCCCCCCACCCCCATCCCTATGTTTCTGTTGTTGAGGCTTTTGCCTTGTCCTTTTCTATGGGTGAAACAGTTTCTATTTGAAAAAGCGAAATCCCAGGATGATTCTGTAAAGTACATATTATGATATATTGTAAGTTGTTACAACAGCCAGGAGGACTTGAGAAATCGAAATTCGAAAAGCCATGTTGACGTCACCTACCCTCCTAGTATTGATGAAGGATTTGATGAGTGTTGTTGCCGGCATTATTACTGATGCTATACACCAAAGGATCCCAGACTTCCAGCCAAACCTGCAACAATTTATTACAGAATGAACATCAACTAAGACATTCTGGCGAAACAAAAAGCTGCATTCTAGATGCCACTTCCTCGGAGCTAATGGCAGATGTCATGTACAATCTCATAAGAACATATATACTATGGCACCCATAACGTCCACACTGAGTTTTAAACTGATGTCTTGGGCAGACAGCAATTTCAGTAATGTCACTGAATTCTCTGCTAGGGTAGCAATTTACGAAATGATGTTCAACTGCTCGGTATATTTCAGGATCCACCTGGACATAGACGGAGTGGACAACAGCCTGCCACAGAACTCAACACATTTGAGTTTTCCTTGGAAGTATCCTGATATTCCGGGCCTGCTTTAATTTCTAGAATGAAAAACAACTGGTTAACCTTCATCGTCTAAACAAAATGAGGGATAGGAATGACGTGTTTTCTGCGTTCTCGTCTGCAAGCCTGCCTGAAAAAGTTACTGATAGCCAAAAGGGCGCGACTGGTAGAACGAGGCAAGCTATCTGATGAGCTGGAAGACCTGCGCCTTTCTGTGTTCCTAGAGTTGTCTGTGGTTTGTACAGGTGTCAGCTGTCGAGTGATGCTGCACAGGATACCGACTAGCAGCTCGTCCAGGTTGACATTGAGAGTTGTTGATATCTCGATATACTGACAGTCGTTGCTGGACGCACACTGCATGGCTTCTGAAACATATAGAAATTTATTTGTTGATAGCGGTTACAATTTGAATTAAAAGGACACGGAATGCATAAATAGGGCAAAAAACAGGGAGAGCTAGAGATTCATGGTTGTCATTCCTTATTGGGGAAACGGCCTCTTACTGATTGATAAAAACTTTCACGCATTGAAAGGGCAGGTGAAAATAAAATATACACTCTAAACTTGTTGACAGAGCATAGCTCTCCTGACCCAATAGTTTATGCAGCAAGCTTTACTCCAGCCATGTTGTTTTACCTTTCCTTTGAGTTTCCAAAGCGAGACTATCGAGGAATCATGCTGCCTGAACAACACACGGTCTCTACAACACTGTCCAGGTGTTGATATCGCCATGGTATGTGATTCCTGTGCCATCCTTTAACAGAATGGACTATGATTGTCTAAAAAATGGAAAGGTGCCAGAGATTTTTTTTAAAAATCACACTACTGTTGCCTTTGATTATATTAGTGATGTATATCCTCCGCAAGACGCCATAAACAAACCATTTTTTCTTCTCTTATAACCTAGGCAAGTTTACGTTCAGTAGTTTTCTTGTGACTATAATATGGTCGATTTAGTTCGACCTTAGTCTCCTCAAACAAAGTAGGTCACGTTCCATTGATAACTTTGTTGGACTGGTCTACTTTATTAGAGGTTACAGGTGTGTCACTCTGTTGTTTGCTTTCTGGCTTGTCTTGTCCATGTTTTGTAGTGTTAAAAGCGCTGGCGTGATGAAGTATACAACACGCGTTATCAACGGCATCACGGAACAACCCCATAGCAGTGTGCGAAGGTCACGCAGCTCAGGAACTAACAATCAGAAGTGAGCTAGTGTGTATATGGGCGGCCTCTGAAAAGGAAGGGGGGGGGGGGGACTAATGTCGAACTAACCCATCAGTGAAATAAACAGCTAAAGTGCACAATCAATTTACGCTGCAACAGCGAAGTCACTGCAGCGATACTAAACTAGCGGCCAGCGGGCCATGTCTGGTCCATAGAGGACTAGCAAGTGACCAGTATTGTATTCATAATCTCTCTACACTGGGGTCACGGCCTCTAGCCTGTGGTTGTCCTCTTATCAAGATTTTGTCCTTTAAGTAAACTTTAAGAAGCACTGAAATTAAAAGAAGTCATTGGTTACACACCTAGGGCACGGGAAAGTCAGTTGGTGGTCCCAAGCCACGGCCAAAGATCGCAGAGACATGTTAATATAGCAGATAAGGGACTCCAAAAACGAGACGGGTCCAAAAAAATCGCACAGCAGTCGCTGAAAAGCCAATGGATAGGCTTCGAGAGCGCCTTGCCACGAATACTCACATGCGGTGAGATCTGGCGAATGGCCCCGCTGCTTCTGAGCTTGCGACTACCGACCCGACATGCCCACTATGCAGAGCTAAGCAGATGCTCGATCACGTATTGTCCGCGTGCAGAAACGCCCTAGGCCGGTGACGATATATTTGGCCCCACAACACAGTCCTGAAAGAGTTAGCGGACGTTGTGGGCCAAGCCAGGATAAAGGCCAACGCAAGGGCCATTCCTGCTGTCACCCCCATGCGCTTCCTCAAGGCTTGGCAGATTTATAAAGGTAAAATCAACAAGGTCGCATACGCTCCATCGATACTTGACAGTGCGAGGGACTGGTTACTGGCTGTCGACATGCTTGGTTTCGAGAGGTACCCAGAGTAAATCCCGAAGACCGGCCTAAGGCCAGCCATAGTTCTGCACTCTACGGAGAAACGCCAGCTCATCCTGATTAGGCTGACCGTGCCGTACGAGTCGCGGATGGAAGAAAATCAACTGTATAAGCTCGAAAAACTACAGTGAGCTCATGGTCGGTCTGAGGAGAGCCGAAGCGTACGCAGTAAAAATCTCGGCCGTCGAGGTAGGTGCAAGAGGTCTTCTCTCCACTTTCATGTACAATGTGCTAAAGCAGTTGGGCTTGCGAGGAAATTAGCGTAAATTGTCACCAAAACAACTGGGTGAAGCTGCTGAAAGAGCTTCCATCTGGCTCTGGACGCAACGGAACGTAGTGGGGAAATGGGCCTCGGCGGACTTGTCCGAGTCCCTAGATCCCTTAAAAGTGTACGATGAATGTCTACAGGTGTCTCTCTGCCAAATGCCAAAGTATCACAATTGTCCGATGAACCAACCATTAGCTTGTCACTGGTCGTAAATCTCACAGCATCTCTTGCA